TACCTTTTCCTTCTGCATTTAGGCATTCTTTCCCAGCTGTTCTCATGATATTGGGTGATTCAAATTGTTCATAAGTTCTAAAATAATCATAACAATTTGTTACATGCCTAGTTGCACCGTTATCTATCCACCAATTTATGGAGTCTTTCTCAACTACATTCAGCTCATTGCTCATGGACATTAAAGCTACCATACTAGTTGTAGCTATACTGTTCTGAAAGCTGCTTGGCCCTTTATTTTTTTGCCGGTCTTCCATCACCTATCCATTTCTTGCAATGCTTTACCCAGTGACCTTTTTCTTTACAATAGTTACAGTTATCATTCTTCTTAGAACTTTGCTTTTTATTTTTCTTAGTTTGATATTCTTTTTCTGATCTTGCTACTAATGCTTCTTGTACAGATTTTTCTGAGTTTATAACCTTCATGAAATTCCTTTCATGCATACAAAGCTGCATTGTTAATTCTTCAAAGGTTTTATCAGCATCTTTGGTCAATAATAACCAACCAGATTTGAAGTTTTCGAAATTAGTAGGCAAAATATGGAGAACCTTACACATTAACATTAAATCTGGAAGTTGAGCAATGTTTTTAACTTTAAGACCATTATTTAACTCATTCCATAAACTTCTTAGTTTTGCTATATGAGTAGAAACATCATCACCTGGATTCCAACAAAAAGCAAAAAACTCTGTACATATTTGAAATAACTGATCTTGTGATGTGGCTTCAAATTGGAGTTTTAATGCTTGCCATACATCATGAGCTGTTTCTTTGTCCATTACTTTTTGGTATACCACGTCTGTCATCGCTGTCGTCATCATTGTCTTAGCATAACTATTTGCCTTACGGTAAAGATCAGTATTTTCTTTATGTTGTTTGATCTGCTCTGCCGTAGCTCCTGCTCCTAAAGCCTTATTGGGATTCTTTAGTATGCCATCAATGACTTCCAGGGCTCCTTCATGATAGTCCAGTAGGTCTCTAATTTTTCTTTTCCATACTGGCCAATCTGCTTCCCCAGATAATGGTTTAACGTACTTAGCTAAATCCATTTTATTTGATGACCTCTTTTGTGGTTGTAAATCTAATTAACGACTGCACATGTTACTGGGCTCATAACCTGTTGAAGTTCTCAGCTGGAATAAGGAAGGCACAGTCGTTTTGTAGATATTTATTCGAAGTAAAATATATAATAGACTTATGTATGTCGATTCTGACAAAACTCAAAACTTATAGTTCACATAATAAACAATAACTATTTTCTAAAACTATATACTTGATAACTTTATTTAACACTATTAAGGTAACTTCAATAAAACACACATACGTACATAAGACGTACTATGTACGTACTTTACTGTACGAAGTACGTACATAATACGTACATTTTCCAAACGACGGTACGTACCTAGTACGTACTTAAAGTACGTACTATGTACGTACCTAATGTACGTAATCTGTACGTTCATAATGTACGTACTCTGTATGTACCTAATGTACGTACTGTGTACGTACTTAATGTACATACTATGTACGTACTATGTTTGTACTTATTCCAATAGAGTACATATTCTAGATGTACTTTACATCCTTATTGGTACTTACTATGATGTATAATGTACGAATAGTGCAATACAAAGAAAAGTGAACAAGTTAATTTGTATTTATTTAATTTTTTACATTAAAAGTATAATTTAAATTGTTTTGCTATCTTTTTTGAAAGTTTTTAGACTATCATCAGCTCTTCATAGCCATCTCTTATCTTTCCTTCTTATCTTTGCATTTGATCCTTTTTACAGCACCTTCTGCAAAGAAATAATATCAAATTAGAAACTTAACTGGTATTTTTTATAATAAATAATATAATAAAAACAATATAACAAAAAGATGTAGAGTAAAGTAAGCGATAGTTTCTACGGCTCAAAATTATTATTGTCACTATACTCCTGGATCTAAACCTCTCTCATTTGTATCCACCTGTTTTGGCCTTATGCCTTTGAAATCCAATACGTTCCTGCCACTGCTCTATAATATCGGAACTCCCATATTTCTTTTTGTTAAGCTAGATCTCTGTCAGTTTTGAAGTCCAATATGGGTGTCGATTCTCGACTCGTAGGAATATTTTCCTATAGGAATTTTTGACATTTTTACATACATCGAAAATTTATGACATATTCCTACATATAGGAAAGTGTCACAAATTCCTATAGGAAAAGGTTCCTACAAGTCGAGAATTGACCCCATGGTTGGAAGTACACAATTTCAATAGATACAAAAATAATTGTGACTGGATGGAGGGTTTTTAATGCAACGACTTTATGGAAACTGGCATGCAAAAATAAAAAATCAAAATATCTTACCTACTACAACTGCAGCCAATTATAATTTGTTGCCAGCTGATTCCCAGATAGCACACGACGTCTGAAAGACGTCTTTTTTGTGTCTTGGTTAGGTCGCAATGTCCTAGGACGTTATTAAGACGTCTTATAAGACGTCTTGCAAAAGCCATAATTCAGACGTATTAATCTGAGAGCTCAATTCCATATATTAATGTGAAAGCTCAAAGACGTCTTTAAGACGTCTTACAAACGTCTTTCAGTCGGACGGAAACTTGCACGGTTTACATAATTCAAATTTAACAAGAAGAATCAAATGAAGTGAAGTTTGACGTTTGATTTAACATTATATTCAAGCCGGACTTCCGATTCGGACACCATCGTGGCAATATTGAAATGGCGTTCTCCGAATCGGGAGTCAAGAAATCCCATAAAAATCACAAAATATCTAGTATAAAAGTGACCATCCGAATTTAAAAAGTATACAAAATTAAATAAAATATTCAGTGTAATATTTGGAGAAGATAATTGAAATCAAATATCAAGTGCAGTGGAAAAGTGAAAAGATTGAGCCCATATAAAACGAAGAAAAGAAGAAATACATTCAAGCCCAAGCCAAAAATTTGAATGGCCCAAGCTCATTGTGGATTATTGATTATTTTATTGCGTACACGATTATAGCCACCAAAAGGGACTTTGGGCTATTTTGAGCATTTGTGTCTCTTTCTACTTAAATAATATGGAACAAAAACCAGAGAGGGAAGAATAGTTTGTGTTACCGATGTAGCACGTTCCTGGAATACAGGTAATAAATGAATATTTGTTTATATACATAGAACATTAATATCCTGTTTCTTCTAATAATTAAATTAATTTAAAAGTAAACATCTTAATATAAGATTTAATTCAGATATTCGTCAAGTATCATTTTTTTTTTGTTTTTATGGAGATTTTGAGAACTAATAATATCAAAAACTCCCTATTAGATAGCCATTTTGAGTAAAGTTAAAGTAAAATTGTTAAAGTAATCGTAAGAAATTAATTTTTTGTTTTGTTTTATAGATAACTGTTCTGTCGGTTTTTACTAACTTTTGCAAAGTGTAATTTTCTGTGACTAGATGCTCTTAACTAAATTTCTTTTTAGGAGCTATACAAAGGCAACTATAAATCAAAGAGAAAAATCAATCCAGTTATGGCTAAAGAGGAGTGATCGAATGCGCTACAAAGAAAATAACTCTTAGTGACCTGTGATTAATAGATGTTTTATCAATAAATATTTTAATTCTATTTTTTGCATTATTTATAATCTGCAAGGTTGTTCTACTTTTTAATAACCAAGATATCCGACGTCCTACGTTCATAAGACATCTTAAAGACGTCTTATTTATGGCTTCACAAGACCATTATAAGCTATTAATAAGTCATCTTATTTATGGCTTATTTAAAGCTTCACAAGACCATTATAAGCTATTAATAAGTCGTCTTATTTATGGCTTATTTAAAGCTTCACAAGACCATTATAAGCCATTAATAAGACGTCTTAAAGACGTCTTATTTAAGGCTTCACAAGATAAGCTATTAATAAGTCGTCTTAAAGACGTCTTATTTATGGCTTATTTAAGGATTTACAAGACCATTATAAGCTATTAATAAGTCGTCTTAAAGACGTCTTATTTATGGCTTATTTTAAGCTCTACAGACCAATATAAGCTATTAATAAGACGTCTTAAAGACGTCGATTTTTGTAACATCAGACGTCTTCTAAGACGTCTTAAAGACGTCTTTCAGGAAATACCAGACGTCTTAAAGACGTCTCGAATGTCTTATGCTAGACGTCTTAAAGACGTCTTTAAGACGACTTTGTGCTATCTGGGTTAGTCATTAAGGTAGCAGCCATACTCCTTTTGACAAAATCCAAAATTAAATTATTAGGGTCTGTAAAATATCACTTCTTTTGTCTAAAATATTAGATACATCCTGTTTATTCATTTCCTTTTCAATTGTTTTGTAGAATTTTTGTAATGTATACTATGGGATGGGATGACATATCTATAAATTATATTTATTACACATAATTTTTTAAAATTAAAATGAAACCACTCACCAGAATAAAATGATGAAACTATGTATTTATAACACGCACTAGAAAATCTAAAGAACTGTCTTGTTCAATTATAATAAATTATACACAATTATTTATTTAATGAAACACTAATAGTTAAATCCTTAAACATGAAAAACTAACAAAAACAAACTGTTAAAACGTGGTTGCTTGCAACACTTTTAGGTTAAATAAAATGTGTTTCTTCTTTGCATTTTTTGGCCGACGGCCAACAGAAATTTGGTAAAACATAGTTTTTTCAATAAAATATGTATGCAACCAGGATTACGTGTACGTATTTTTCTGTACGTACTGGTACGTACTATTGTGTACGTACTTAATACGTACATTTTACGTCCTGTACGTACAGTACCAAAACTGTACGTACTTAAGACGTACTGTGCTGTTTGGGTTGTGATATTAGAAAATTAACTAAATAAAGGAAATAATAACTTTAAATCTCATTTTCTCTACTTTACACTCTCAAAATATATGGCATCTATTTTTAGGACGGCACTGTAGCCCTTATAATATATTTTACTAACATAGCAATGTTTTATCTAAAGCTTCCAGATCCAATAATCGTGAAGTCACAACAATCTAATGATAATTTGACCGAAAATCATCAGCAATTCAATCAGGATTACGAGGAAAATCCTCATTGCCCATGGCAATGTGAACTTACTAACGAAGCCGGCTATGTGGTTTACTCTGCTTTGGGCTCCTTTTATATCCCGATGTTCGTCATGCTTTTCTTCTATTGGAGGATATACAGAGCAGCAGTCAGAACAACCAGGGCGATCAATCAAGGTTTTAAGACCACTAAGGGTAAGTTATGATCTTATGGAAACTCTTATAATTATTAGTACCGTAAAGTGGGGTTACTTTTTTTTTAATATCTATGGTTCTTTTGGGAATTATAAAGCCCGCTCTAACTATGTGAAAATTTAATACTTTGGCTACACAGTTTTGTAATTAGAAAGCATAAAACAAATTAGAACCACATTTTTTAAAAGTTTAAAAAGTTGGCAAAGTTACCTCGACTTTAGGGTTACTTTGCCGACTGGCATTTCTGCACGTTTTTATGCGTACAGGCCAAGTTAACAGTCTCGAAGGGTTACTTTACTCTCCTTAAATGTGTTTAAAAAATCTGTTTTAATAAACATAATTCATTTTTACATTAAAAATCTGATGTGTCCAACACATGACTTTCCTATCTAGTTATTATAGGCTTTTTCCGGTTATTTTGTACAACCTATTGCAGCACCTCTATAAATGTTTAGAGGATAAACTAAATATATACATTTTCCACATACAGTACAACTTCAGTAATCCGGACACATATCGTTCCGGTCAATGTCGAGGTATCCGGACTACTGGGACCATTTATTTTTTTTTATTAAAATTCGTAAAATTGCTTACAAAATACCTTTATTTCGTAAAAGTGCGTATATAAAAAAAGTAAAAGCTTAAAAAATCATTCTAATGTTATAAAACTATAAAACTAGAGTACATGTACCTATGTAGGTATAACAAACTACATATGTATATAAACTAATGTATTCTTTTTGGGAAAAATATGTCTAACTTGGTTTGAATACTCCTCTTTTTAGCCAGTTCAAACGCCTTTTCCTGAAGTCTTTTTAACAGCAAGATGTCTCCAATTGGAAAGTCATTTTCCTCTGCCCATTGAATGGATAATGATATTGACCTCGCAGCGTCACCGTGTCTTACTCTCTGCACAATTTCTTCTCCAATGTCAGATTCGCCGGATTCATTCTGTTGGTCTTTATTAGCTATTGCCTCGTTTATTAATGTCTTCTTCTATTTGGTCTACAATAGTGTCTTTTTCTCCAATCGCCCACTGGATAATATTCTTGCTACTTAAGTCAGTTTCTGGATCTATGATATTCAGCGAATCTGTAATATCCTTAAGGTCTGACTCATTTACAACGCAAAATCTCTTTCGAAGTTCCGAAAGTGGCAGATTGTTTTCATCAGACCCCGGATCCTCCAACTCCTCTGAGCCGCAAATTAACTCAGTCCATAATGCCTCCCAGCTCTTTTGAATATTTTTTGGAGAAATTGATTTTTAAGCTAAATCCAAATTATCTACTGCATCTTTTAAGTTGTATTCTTTCAACATCTTTACTATATCTTCTCCTTCATTTTTAAATATGACTTAATTTAGCAAGCGCTTTCTGTATCCCACCTTTATATTTTGAATCCATTGGCTGGAGCACTGCCGTGCAGTTAGGGGGCATGAACATAACTCTAAAATCTGGATTGAAATTAAACTCTTCCTCTGAAGGATGAGAGGTGCATTGTCGATTAGCAATAAAGCTTTTTTGGGCCTGTTAGCATCTGCTAAAAATGTTTTGACACTAGGTATGAAACATGTTTTAAACCACTTCATAAATACAGGTATTGTCATCCATCCTTTGCCAGTTGCTTTATACACAACGGGTAGCTTAGCATTTTTAAAAACTCTGGGTGTTTTTGATTTGTTGAGAACCAGAAGTGGTAATGTATGTATGCCTTCAGCGTTACAACAGAGCATGAAGGTTACACGGTCTTTGGAGACTTTTCTTCCTGGAGCTGATTTTTTTTTACTATGAACCCATGTTCTATCGGGCAACGCTCTATAAAATGCCGCGGACTCGTCAGCATTATACACCTGTTCCTTTCTTAAGCCCATTTCCTACACCACAGCATGAAGCTTTTCTTAAAATGGGGTAATGGCGTTCAAATCAATCGAATGTTTTTCACCAAAAACCTTTAAAAATCGAATACCGTGTCGTTTCTTGAATTTGTCAAGCCAACTAGAGCTAGCCAAAAAATCATCTTTTTAGATTATGCGTTCATAAAAGTGCTTCGCTTTTGTTCTTAAAATATCTGAAGAAACAGGTACGTGAGCAACTCGTTGTTGTAAAAACCAACTGTATAAAGCAGCCTCAACTTCAGGATTTTCGACTTTTCTGATCACCTGCCGCTTGCCTGAAATTAAGATTAACTATGCATTAGGTGGTAGTACACGGGCGAAATTTTCGACACATCCTATCCTAGGTATCAGACCCGCAGGATGGGGTCCGTCGGACATGACCTTTACTTTAACATGCAACGGACCTGATCCTAGAGTCTGCGTCAACACACACGATGGGATATTTTAGTGGACATTCCGAATCTTGTCAGATCTCTTAAAAAATACGCTCGTGTATGCCTACCTATTTTTGTAATGACAAAAAGTTAGTAAGCACATACCTGTCCCTTGATATGATTTTGACACAAAGTTTCTTATTCTGTCCTTATTTTTCTTATATCAAAAATT